CCCCAAAACCCCAAAACCCCAAAACCCCAAAACCCCGAGTAATTTTATAATAATTCTCAACTTGTGTAAAATGTCTGAGTTAGATAAATCGACAAGACAACCATTTGTCAGGACTGATGGTATCCCACAGACTACAAGCTATTCGATCATTATTCCACCTAATAGGGACACTAATGGGTTTTTCAGAAAGGCCTATCATCACGAATATTGTAAGTTTATTAAGACTAAAGTTTTACGTCCTTAGATCTTGGTCTGAGATGGTTTAGGCAAAGAATATATTTCAGAAGTAGAGTTCAATGATATAATTGATAATGTTTGCAAGCTAGCCTCTCTCGCTTATTCAAAGAAAAGACAAAATGACAACCGCCAGCTTTCCCCTAAGGTGGTATTCGTATTTTGGATTTGAACTATTTCAGTAATATGCTTCTGTTTTCTCTCTTATTACGCAGCAATCGACAAATCAAATTTTTTGAGAAGTAAGTAAGCATAAATTTATCTCTAGTTCTATCAATAGCAATGTTGTGTGTGTCGACAGCAATGTTTTCATTGATAACCTTGTCAATAATCTTTGCTAAAATTCCAGAATTTCCGACTCTTTCGATACTGGTAAAGCAGAGAATTGATAATTACTTCAACAACATTAACCAGCTCTACACCAACAAGGGTATCTGGTGGAGAATTGATGCTAAGTATTTGTACATTGAGATGGTCATTGACGAGAAGATACCTCCTGAGTTGAAGGACAGCAAATACCAACTCCCTGAAAATTCTCTCAATGCCTCAAAGACTGAGATTAAAAAGAAGAAAACTAAAGTTGAAAAGATGACTCCTAAAGAAACAGTCAGATCTAAAACCTCTAATAAGTAAGATTAGCTCTAAGATTTACTAAAATTCCATGATGCTGCTTAAGTAAAACTTTTTGCAATCTTGCTAACTAGATTTTAGAGTGCATCCCATTGATATTTCCGCAATGAAAAAGAGCAATCTAGCAGAAAAGTTGGATGATGATTATGCTGAGAGTATGACATTGAAGAGTCAGCCTATGAGGCCTCAGAATTTCAACTTCAGAGGAGGAGGAGAGAAGCCTTCCCATAATAATACTGTATTTGATCCTTTCAATAAGGGAGACCCCTCAAAAACATCGAAGAGAATTAATAAAGGCCAGGAAGATGAAGTCAAAAGATTAAATGAGGATAGAAAAGAGAGGATAAATTTTGAAGCTAACAATCAGTTCCAATCCGAGAATCCAATGGAATCTATAAAGCAAGATGCAAGCTTTGATGACTCAAAACACAAGAGAATGGAGTCTCCTGAAAGTAGGCTACACAAAACACCTCAAGATGCATTTCCAAACAGCCCCGATGATGGGAATGAGAATTATCAAAAAGAAGATTCTATGAATATGGATGAAGTCAGTTACTTGGAGAACAGGAAAGAATCAAATAAGGATTTATGGTAATTAAAAGTCGGTAATTAGTATTATTGGCTCCTCGTAGGCACTACTATATTTGAAACATCAATCATGGTGGCCTGGCAAAGTGACTAATGTCAATAATTGCTTCATAAAAAGTGAATTCATATTTGTGCACATTAGAGGTTTTACCTCTATATCCCTTCTCAGTTGAATTGCTAACATCTCTCTTCATAACAATTTGAGCTGCCTAATATAAACTTAATTTAACCTAAAAAGATAAATCCTTTGACAAAGAGGCCTTGATTCTGTGTCAACATAAATCCTGCCTGTTCTCAGTCTATTAAATATAATATCTTTAGCTAAACTATAACCTAAGTTCATTCCTTTATTGGCTATGTTTCTTCTATTAAACCTTCTACTGGAGAGGCTCACTGTATGTTCTTCATCTATCTGTTGTCATTAAGTACCACAGCATAAATCTCTAAGAAAAGGCATTTAATAGAGGGTACCTCTTGAGTTTGTATACTTTGTTCCATTTTTAATAATGTAAACTCTCTCCTAAGTTTGGTGGCTAGCATTCCATATTGCTTTTGTAAAAGTGTATATAGAAATAAGAATGCCAGAGCACCAGATGCAGGTTACTCCTCGGCTAAGAATCAGCACTTCAATTTTGGGGAAAATGAAAATTCAAACTTTGGAACTGAATGGATGTCAGATAATAATAGATAAGTTTCACTCTAAGTATTCTTCTTTGATTCTATTTTAGCTATATTCATTAACTTTCATAGTAAAAGGGGTTTTGGGGTTTTGGGGTTTTGGGGTTTTGGGGTTTTGGGG